GGTTAAACCCGTCAAATTTCAATTCCGAGAGAAAAGTCAATTTTAGTCAAAAAATTACTAAGGCATAAGACTTATGTTTTTGGTCAAAAATTCGATTTTGCTGAAAATCTCAGTATATGTACTCCTGAGCATGCCGAATGCAAAGCTATGATCCTCGTTTCGATTGGGGGGTAATTAGTGGCCTTAATGAGGCTTGGAGTATTTTTAGGACTTTTTCAATGCTTACGACTTTTTCTAAGCCAATTTCTGCCCAACTATGGGTTTCCCAGGTGAGATTTTGGTGTTTTTGTGTTCTTCTAGAAGTAATTAATTGGTTAACCCATTCAAATTTCAATTCCGAGAGAAAAGTCAATTTTGGTCTAAAAAGTATTAAGGCATAAGACTTATGTTTTTTGTCAAAAATTTGATTTTGCTGAAAATCTCAGTATATGTAATTTCGGAGCATGCTAACGCAGCTTATTATCCTCGTTTCTGATTAGGTACTATCTTAATGAGGCTTGGAGTATTTTTAGGACTTTTTCAGCGCTTATGAATTTTTCAATGCTAATTACTAGCCAACTATGGGTTCCCAGGTGAGATTTTGGTGTTTTTGTGTTCTTCTGGAAGTAATTAATTGGTTAAACCCCTCAAAATTCAATTCCGGTAGAAAAGTCTATTTTAGTCAAAAAAATTACTAAGGTATTAGACTTATGTTTTTGGCCAAAAAATTGATTTTGCTGGAAATCTCAGTATATGTACTCCTGAGCACGCTTTTTGCAAATCTATGATCCTCGTTTCGATTGGAGGGTAATTAGTGGCCTTAATGAGGCTTGGAGTATTTTTAGGACTTTTTCAACGCTTATGAATTTTTCAATGCTAATTACTAGCCAACTATGGGTTTCCCAGGTGAGATTTTGGTGTTTTTATGTTCTTCTGGAAGCAATTAATTGGTTAAACCCCTCAAAATTCAATTCCGAGAGAAAAGTCTATTTTGGTCAAAAAATTACTAAGGTATTAGACTTATGTTTTGGCCAAAAAATTTATTTTGCTGGAAATCTCAGTATATGTACGCCTGAGCACGCTTTTTGCAATTCTATGATCCTCGTTTCGATTGGAGGGTAATTAGTGGTCTTAATGAGGCTTGGAGTATTTTTAGGACTTTTTCAACGCTTATGAATTTTTCAATGCTAATTACTAGCCAACTATGGGTTTCCCAGGTGAGATGTTGGTGTTTTTGTGTTCTTCTGGAAGTAATTAATTGGTTAAACCCCTCAAAATTCAATTCCGAGAGAAAAGTCTATTTTGGTCAAAAAATTACTAAGGTATTAGACTTATGATTTTGGCCAAAAAATTGATTTTGCTGGAAATCTCAGTATATGTACTCCTGAGCACGCCTTTTGCAATTCTATGATCCTCGTTTCGATTGGAGGGTAATTAGTGGTCTTAATGAGGCTTGGAGTATTTTTAGGACTTTTTCAACGCTTATGAATTTTTCAATGCTAATTACTAGCCAACTATGGGTTTCCCAGGTGAGATTTTGGTGTTTTTGTGTTCTTCTGGAAGTAATTAATTGGTTAAACCCCTCAAAATTCAATTCCGATAGAAAAGTCTATTATGGTCAAAAAATTACTAAGGTATTAGACTTATGTTTTCGGCCAAAAAATTGATTTTGCTCGAAATCTCAGTATATGTACTCCTGAGCACGCTTTTTGCATTTCTATGATCCTCGTTTCGATTGGAGGGTAATTAGTGGTCTTAATGAGGCTTGGAGTATTTTTAGGACTTTTTCAACGCTTATCAATTTTTCAATGCTAATTACTAGCCAACTATGGGTTTCCCAGGTGAGATTTTGGTGTTTTTGTGTTCTTCTGGAAGGAATTAATTGGTTAAACCCTACAAAATTCAATTCCGAAAGAAAAGTCTATTTTGGTCAAAAAATTACTAAGGTATTAGACTTATGTTTTTGGCCAAAAAATTGATTGTGCTGGAAATCTCAGTATATGTACTCCTGAGCACGCTTTTTGCAAATCTATGATCCTCGTTTCGATTGGAGGGTAATTAGTGGCCTTAATGAAGCTTAGAGTATTTTTAGGACTTTTTCAACGCTTATGAATTTTTCAATGCTAATTACTAGCCAACTATGGGTTTCCCAGGTGAGATTTTGGTGTTTTTGTGTTCTTCTGGAAGTAATTAATTGGTTAAACCCCTCAAAATTCAATTCCGATAGAAAAGTCTATTTTGGTCAAAAAATTACTAAGGTATTAGACTTATGTTTTTGGCCAAAAAATTGATTTTGCTGGAAATCTCAGTATATGTACTCCTGAGCACGCTTTTTGCAAATCTATGATCCTCGTTTCGATTGGAGGGTAATTAGTGGCCTTAATGAAGCTTGGAGTATTTTTAGGACTTTTTCAACGCTTATGAATTTTTCAATGCTAATTACTAGCCAACTATGGGTTTCCCATGTGAGATTTGGGTGTTTTTGTGTTCTTCTGGAAGTAATTAATTGGTTAAACCTCTCAAATTCCATTTCCGAGAGAAAAGTCTATTTTGGTAAAAATTACTAAGGTATAAGACTTATATGTTTTTTGTAGATGATTTTGCTGAAAATCTCAGTATATGTAATCCTGAGCCGCTGATTGCAAATCTATGATCCTCGTTTCGATTGGATAATAATTAGTGGCCTTAATGAGGCTTGGAGTATTTTTAGGACTTTTTCAATGCTTTGGACTTTTTCAATGCTAATTACTAGCCAACTATGTGTTTCCCAGGTGAGATTTTGGTGTTTTTGTGTTCTTCTGGAAGTAATTAATTGGTTAAACCCCTCAAATTTCAATTCCGAGAGAAAAGTCTATTTTGGTAAAAAAATTACTAAGGTATAAGGCTTATGTTTTGGTCAAAAATTTGATTTTGTTGAAGATCTCAGTATATGTACTCGTGAGCACGCTGATTGCAAATCTATGATCGTCGTTTCGATTGGAGGGTAATTAGTGGCCTTAATGAGGCTTGGAGTATTTTTAGGACTTTTTCAATGCTAATTACTAGCCAACTATGTGTTTCCCATTTGAGATTTTGGTGTTTTTGTGTTCTTCTGGAAGTAATTAATTGGTTAAACCCCTCAAATTTCAATTCCGAGAGAAAAGTCTATTTTGGTAAAAAATTACTAAGGTATAAGGCTTATGTTTTGGTCAAAAATTTGATTTTGTTGAAGATCTCAGTATATGTACTCGTGAGCACGCTGATTGCAAATCTATGATCCTCGTTTCGATTGGAGGGTAATTAGTGGCCTTAATGAGGCTTGGAGTATTTTTAGGACTTTTTCAGTGCTTTGGACTTTTTCAAATGTAATTACGAGCCAACTATGGGTTTTCCAGGTGAGATTTTGGTGTTTTTGTGTTCTTCTGGAAGTAATTAATTGGTTAGGCCCCTCAAATTCTAATTCCGAGAGAAAAGTCTATTTTGGTCAAAAAATTACTAAGGTAAAAGACTTATGTTTTTGGCCAAAAATTTGATTTTGCTGAAAATCTCTGTATATGTACTTCTGAGCCGCTGATTGCAAATCTATGATCCTCGTTTCGATTGGATAGTAATTAGTGGCCTGAATGATGCTTGGAGTATTTTTAGGAACTTTTTCAATGCTTTGGACTTTTTCAAATGTAATTACGAGCCAACTATGGGTTTTCCAGGTGAGATTTTGGTGTTTTTATGTTCTTCTGGAAGTAATTAATTGGTTAGACCCCTCAAATTCTAATTCCGAGAGAAAAGTCTATTGTGGTAAAAAAATTACTAAGGTATAAGACTTATGTTTTTGGCCAAAAATTGATTTTGCTGAAAATCTCAGTATATGTAATCCTGAGCCGCTGATTGCAAATCTATGATCCTCGTTTCGATTGGATAGTAATTAGTGGCCTTAATGAGGCGTGGAGTATTTTTCGGACTTTTTCAATGCTTTGGACTTTTTCAAATGTAATTACGAGCCAACTATGGGTTTTCCAGGTGAGATTTTGGTGTTTTTGTGTTCTTTGCGGAAGTAATTAATTGGTTAAACCCCTCAAATTTCAATTCCGAGAGAAAAGTCTATTTTGGTCAAAAAATTACTAAGGTAAAAGACTTATATTTTTGGCCAAAAATATGATTTTGTTGAAAATCTCTGTATATGTACTTCTGAGCCGCTGATTGCAAATCTATGATCCTCGTTTCGATTGGATAGTATTTAGTGGCCTTAATGAGGCTTGGAGTATTTTTAGGACTTTTTCAATGCTTAGGACTTTTTCAATGCAAATTACTAGCCAACTATGCGTTTTCCAGGTGAGATTTTGGTGTTTTTGTGGTCTTCTGGAAGTAATTAATTGGTTAAACTCCTCAAATTCCAATTACGAGACAAAAGTCAATTTTGGTCAAAAAATGAGTAAGGTATAAGGCTTATGTTTTTGGCCAAAAATTTGATTTTGCTGAAAATCTCAGTATATATACTCCTGAGCATGCTAATTGCAAATCTATGATCCTCGTTTCGATTGGAGGGTAATTAGTGGCCTTAATGAGGC